AGAGACTCTTTCAAGGTTGTGATATTACCTTCAAGTTCTAAAACTTGAGATGCTAACTTATCTCCTAAGGCGTTGCCCCGGCGCTGCGCTTGGCGTCGGCGCGTGCCTGGCCGAGGCGGGACCGAGCCTCGACGTGGCGAAGCTGGTAGTTAATAAGATTCATGTTTTACATTTTAGGCTTTCGACAATCTGCCAGCCTACCATGAAGTGACAATTCAGGGTGGCGATCCAAATCTTCAGGGCTACTACACATCCCACCCAGAACTTACAGTGGTGCACGACGAGTCTGACATTGGCCTCATCAAAGTGATGCAGCCAATGAGAGAGACTTACTGCTGTGCATTTGCGGACCTACCAACTGGCCCTCTCAAATCGGGCGACGTTGTCAAAGGTGAGCTTTCAATTGGGTTTAATCAATGCAAGAATGGCCAAATTGTGATCCATACACTTTCAGGGCTCCGTAACTTATCATAACACGAACGAATGTAAGTTCCTAAACGTAACAAAACACATGTAAAACTAAAAAATTAAGCTATCGATTTTGAAACATGTCGGATATTATTCATCGTACAAACTGTGGAAAAAAGTTGAATAGGTCGAATAACTCACTTATTTCCAAAGGACTACCGTAAGAGTTACAAATTTTAACTTTTACTCCTAAAATAACGTTAGAGACATTTAAGTAACTAGCTGTATGTACGCCAGACCACGCCTCGCGTAACAGGCTTCGCGATATCTCACGAAACAGTGTTACGCTGCGATGCGCGTGGCGCACATGTAGCTAGGCCTGCGGCGCTGACACCCGAGACGAGTTATTAGGAGTGTATACGGAAAAGGGATCTTCCAGGCCCCAATTCGACGCAGACTTATTACTCCAAAATTAGGGACATGCAGCTTCTGATGTTCGAGAAAAGTATTCATTGAAACTTTTCATTTTGACATGTTGTTACGTAAAAATCGCCGTTTTAATTATACTAGATAATCTAGGGACCCTTGAGCCCAAAAGGAGGGTGTGGTTCGACGTCAACTGTGTGGTTTTAGTATTATTTCCTGTAAAAGTTTTCAATGAAAGGCCTTTTTAACGATTTAACAAAACATTTGGTCATTTTTTTCATATTAATTCCGGCAAGAAATGCCTCCTAGCACCCAAACGGACGAAATTTTCGTCTAAAGGGTTCTACTCTGACGCGTTACCCCTCAGGAACCCATAGGAAAATATTTGAAAAAAATATGCATCTTGCGACCTGTGGTTTTTGATTTTGTTAAAGTCAATTTTTGAGGTAGATTGCTCATCTTCGAGCTCGCTTTGTCTTTCTCTGATACAAAACCACCCTAAAATTCCCAGATCGCTATCTCAATTTATTCTCGATTTATCGTGCGGACATTAAAACAGAAAAACAAACACAAACAAACGGAATGAGACTTTTTTGGTCAGTGGAGTAATGGGCTTCGCTAGTCGCTCAGCCAATAAGTTAAGGAGCCATGGGATGGGATGCGTCACACAGTAAAAGTTGTAAGCTTTAAATGCTAAAATAACAGGTAAGTACTAGGGTACTCCGGGGATCGTCTAGACCGGAAGGAGGAGAACAAAAATCGTCGGGCGTTGGGAGGAGCGGGGCAGGGTGGGGGTGTTATAGGGGGATAGAGAGCTTTTTAAATATTCGCGCGTAGAGCGACCAGGACAGAGGTGACCGGATGCGCCCTCCAGCGATCGTCTCGCGGAGCGCCCGCGGCCCCGGGAACGGCCCGACTCGAGGCTCGGCTCGTGAGTCGCCGGAGAGTAGTCAGCCAGACAGGGAGTGTGGAGGTCACAACTATTATACACAACTGAGTGACCATACAGTGATATTAACAGAAACCATCTGCTAAGATCTTTATCCTTGAACCAAGAACTTGGCCAACAAAACAGGGACAGTACCCCGCTCCTCCCCGCGCCCGACCGGCCCGACGATTTTTGTTCTCCTTCCGGTCTAGTCGAGCCCCGGTGTACCCTATAGGTCACCGAGCCCTGCTGACGGTTGACAGACACGCCTCCTTCTCGTCGAGAAGAAATTAGAGTGAGCATGTATGTATCTATTTTGTATTTTCTATTTGTACTCTACGTGCATGTATCCTTTTTTCCTTCCATATGCTGATTTTGTCTACTAGTTGTTTGTATGTGTGACAATGTAACAATAGGGTATATCAGAGCTGGAGGTGAAGAAGTAAAATGGAAGAACAAAACGCGCACTGCGCATGAGCACACACACCCACTGTATCCCCTGCTTCCCCCACTCTGCGTCTGCTCATGCGCAGTGCGCGTTTTGTTCTTCCATTTTACTTCTTCACCTTCAGCTCTGAAATAACCTATTGATTGAAATTGTAACAGCAAG